TCCTTTGAACACCACTGTATCAAGAAAAGTTATTTCGTTCTCTGATATTTCGGCCGTGAATTTTATTGTTGGGTGGAATGTGTTAGCTTGTTCAATGAACGATCCACTTCATTTCTTTTACAGTCCCAAAGGTAGAAAACGCGATCAATGTAACGTCTCCATTCTCTTGGCTTGGTATTGTTTTGTTGAATTAAATTTCTTTCGATCTCCGCCATGAATATATTTGCAAAAGACATGCACTGCTGTCTTTGTGCCCATGTCTTTGGGGTTTTTCTATCTTATTAAACTGTTATTTTCAGGTTTCCTTCAATTTAAAGGTAATTTTATATGTGGCCAAAATAACTCAAAATACCGTGACTGAGTTATTTTAAAATGGGAGTCCCCTCCGCATGCAATCCAACATGACCATTTACTTCATCGCGGCAAATCACGACTGAAAACAAAAAAATACACTAGTATACTCTTGTAAAAAGTATGTTTTTATTTTGTTCAACTAATTACAATGTTGGTGCAGACGCTTTTTTCTAAAAGAAAATCTTAAGTACAAACCGCAAGGCGTGAAATTGTTTTATTGAATTCTCCAACCACTGAGTTTAGAAAATTAGATTTTGTAACTGAAGTTAAACTTAATATAATAAAACACAGCAATAGTCTTTTTACATACGACTTAACCTCGCTTTCTGCTCCTCGGCAATGGCTGCCGAACAACACCATTCCTTGGTAGAGCGTTTGTTTGTAGGATGTTCGTTGCCAATGTTTGGCTTTAGGAACAGCTTCGAGGGATTTTGGGCTTGAACTCGAAACCCAGCTTAGCCATAACAAAAGATACTGTTCCAAGAGGTTTCTGCTGAAAAGTTTGCTGGGAACATGAAGACGAGATGAATCTAGATGAAACAGTCGGTCAAAATCCCTTCTTGTATCAATACTTTCCTTCTTTTTATGAATATGATCTATTCTCTACATTGCTTGTAATCTTCTAAAGGGATGTAACGAGGCTCATAACACAGAATGCTACAATTTGGATGCGAAGACAACAAAATTTATTGATAATTTTTACTACAGATCAGAATAGTTAAAATTGTTTTCCAGTCCGTACTGTGCAGTCTCAGCACCCTAATGTTTATAAACATTATAAGGCTCACTCGATGGAATGCAAATCGATGTTACAGTATTCCTTACGAACCACATGCATGTACCTTTATCTTTGAGGCCTTTCAAATTCTTTTTCCAACAGTTTTATTGATTTTTAAAGCTGCAAAGTTGTTTCATCAAGTGATATGAGAAAGGATGAAGCATAAAGGTTTGACTGCTTCGCATCCATATAAAGGCATAATAACGGTCGCTTTGACACTTTGAATTTACTTCATCTAAGCAGTTGCAAAATGTTTACATTTTGTGATGTCTTACATGAAACAAAACAAAAAACGCAAACAAACTCTAGAGAGTGTGCTGTATGGACTGGAAATCATCTTTTAAGCACTTAAATAATCACATTTCTTAATGCTTTTTGCCTTAGGTTTTTTTCCTTAAATGTTCTCCAATAATTAAAGTTCAATATTGTAGTAGGCAATTTGGAATAAGTTGATAGCTCTTGCTAAGAGATGGCTACTTACATGTAAATCCATTACATGCTTAGTAAGTTGTCTAATAAGCTTTAAACAAGTACTGGTGAAGCATTTTTTCTTTCCATGATCTACGAGGCCGAAACAAAATGTCAAATAAGGAATTGCAAACATGTGGGTCCAACACACGCTCAATTATTTTCACTAAGACTGCTAAATGAAGCTCACTGTTCTTGAGGAGATCATGCATTTCTTGCAAGTGATCCTCCACAACTGTCTCTTTGTAGTCTCTCCTTTTCACCATTACAGTTTCTAACAGTTTAAATAGTATGGGATGAAGTTTTTGAACTCTAGCAAAGGCCAAAACAAGCATCACTAAATCATTTGTAGCAAAAGGTGTCAGATCTTCACGCTGAAACAGCTCTTCCTCGACAACCTTTAACACTTCAGCATTCAACGTCGCTACGGTAGAATATGCAAATGCAAAGGATGCCACCATCCATGGCTGGAATTGGTTGAGATCACGGGTTAAAATCTCATTACCCATCACCTGGTAGAACTGACCAGTGTCTGAGAAACCATACTCAGAAAATGACCAGACTATGGACAACATTTCTTCAGAAGTAAAATCAGATAGTTCCCTCGAGAATATCTCTTCGTTCAAAGCATGGAAGATTTGATCAACATTTGTATATCGACAGTACTTTGCAAATGCCCAGCTCAACTGTGAGAGTTGTTTGGTCGAGTATCCTGCCAGTTTGTAATATAAAATTCCTCTTTCAAGATCTTTATAAACTGGGGGATCTTTTACGCACAACGTTGCCATGCAGATGGCAACTGTGTATAACTGGTTAGCATCCAACTCATTGACATTTGACCTTATGTCCTGCACCAGCATCTGAAAAAGCCTCTGCTGCAATTCTTGTACCAGAAACACGTCTCTCATTTGAACGCTTTTGTTGAAATACTTCACAATACATTCAAGAATTGTGACTTTATGCAACGGAGTCAGTTCTTGCTTTCTTTTCACTGCAACCCAGTAAGACGTAACTAGTTTCTTGATGGACTCTAACTTTTCTATTTGCTTAATGATCTTTTCGTCACGTGACAACAAAGGCCTTGGATTAGCAAGGCCTTCGAGACGTGTCTTCCGTAAACTTTCTAAGAGCTGCGCTGATTTTTCTCTTGATTTCTCCATCCTTTCAGCCCTTTTGTTCACAGCAACCATTGCAGATGTGTGGAACAGGAGGGTCCTCGGATAGTTCAAAGGAAACATTCTTTGCAAGGATCTATCTTTGCCAGAGTTCCAAAAAAGCCCATTGATCCCAAGCACGTGAACAGGTCGGAAATTTGTGGACAGTGACCTCATTGTCCTCATTAACACCACATTTCGCCCTCCTGATAAATTACATTGAAGTCTCTTGATTTCCCGTACACTACATATCATACTGAAAGTTCATTTTCTGCTAGTATACGGGTGTAAACTGTACGATGTCATAACGTCTGAAAACAGCCGCCATTTTGGTCTCCTTGTTAGATCCCAGTCTACCCGGTTATTTTCATCGTTCAAGCTTCGGGAAGCTCGGAATTCTTCCGGAGAACTTCGGATTTCGATCGTACTCATAGTAGTCTGGGACGGAGAAACAAGTGGACCCCGGCGTCTGTGTAATAATGATTTCTCATTCTACAAGTACGATTCGCATTTAAACTGTTCGGTTTAAAGTTGCACATGTACCTCATCAACTTGCACTTGCTTTTAATGAAAGTATTTTAACATACGAGATAACGATATTTCATCCTTACCGGCCTCGATTTTGGGTAAGTTTATCAGTTTTCTCTGTACATGCATAAGACCTGGATCTTTCAGTAAACAAGAACCCGAGCTTTTTGCCGAGTCATGAATTTATGGGTTAGGTGTGCCGTAAAATTTTGCTTATTCCATAACAACAACAACAACAACAATAACTTTATTAATGTGTCAAATACATTCTAGCCGAGGATAAAAAACCCTCTACTAATAGGGGACACATAAAATAAAT